CCAGAAAAAGGTACCTGCTCTAAACTTCCCTTTATCACATTCCCAATCCTTCCAAATGAGATCTAAACTGTGAAAGAAGCTAGCTGTAAAACAGACCTGACTCCATACTCTGCAGTCTGAGGCAAATCCTAATGCAATAGGCATAGACTATCAGGTCAGACTGCCTGAGTGCAAACTCCATCTGTACCACCTGACTTTATAACTTTATGAAAGTTACTTCTCTGCACCTCAGTTTTCTCATCTTCAAGAAGGGTGGTTGGAAGTTAAAAGAGAAATTACATGCAAAACGGTCAGAATAATAAACACCCAGTAAATACTATTTTTACTATTAAAACAGATCAATTAATAGATACTATAATTCCGTTAAGAAACACTATGATTGGGGCGTCTGGCTGGCTCAGTCAGAGCATGGGACTCAAACTATAATTCTATTTCCCTATTTATTTGTACATATTTGTAGATACTGGTATATGCATAGAAGATATAGAACGATTCAAACAATCCCTCAGAATTCAAAGTTTTACTTTCTTCCATTCTGTGTTCTTTTCCCTCCAACTTGTTCTTGACTTCTCGGCCAAAGTAACCTACTTGAAAAATAAAGTGCTTTAATGTCACCCCCTTCTTAAAAGGCTTCAGTGGTTTTCCAATTAATTTAGAATCAAATCCAAAATACTACCTAGCCTGCCTGGTCTGGCTCCCACCAAGCTCTCTGGCCCTTCTTGCCCTTCATTCCCTACCGAGGCCACACCTGCTTTCAGTCCCTCTGATGGGCCAAATTCTCGCCTCTGCAAATGCTGTCAGAATGCTCTTCTCCAGCCTTCCCAACTTGTTCCTTCTCCTCAGCTCGATTAGAAGTCGTCTCACAGAAGCTTTCCAGAAAACTCTTATTAAAATACATCTCCCCCCCACCCCCATTTTTCTTTCTCAACTTCTATTGGTTTCCTTCATAGAAAGCACTATCATTGAATGTCTGTCTGCTTTTGTTTTATCTCCCGTGGAAGAGTAGCTTCAAGGACAGGACCGTGTTTATTTTTATATGCCACCAGGGCCTAGTACCAAACCACCTAACAGTCAGAACCTAACAAATAACGGTGGAACAAGTAAAATGCTATCCCATCTGTGAGGCAAGTCCTAAAGCAGTATTCCCACTCATGACCATGGTCACTAAAAAATACATACAAAACCTTAAAATATCACAATGTGTTATTTTAAGTTATTCTTTTCAGAAATGGTTATATACATAAGACAATGGCATCTGAACTCTTCTTATCTGTGATACATGGTAAGAAAAATAAAATACTGACTGACACAAAGGTTCACAAAATCATACTGACCCTGGTGAAGGGAGCTGTACTTTTATCTTCTAACCAATGTCATAAGATAGTATAACCATTTGTCTGTGATTGTTCTATGCTACTAAATAATGGAAAGACAAAGATGTGTACTACTTCAAGGCTTTGGTTTTTCGTTTACGATTTCAATAATCCAATACCACTAATTCAAAACTGTAAAATTAATGTTAGGGGAAGGATAATCCAATTACACTACCAATTCTAACTCATCACATTCAAACTCCAGAGTAACATTATAGGCATATTCATTAATCAAAGAATAAAAATAACAAAAGCACCCTACATACATGGGATATTCAGATTAGGGCCCTCTTTCTAAGAAGGAGCCCCCAAGTGATTTCAATTGTAAGGAGAAGGATGAGAACTGATGCAGGTCTTCCCACCTCATCTAAGAGCAATCCTGTTCTTCTAGACCTGCAGGCCAAAAACTTTGGTGCCATCTTGGACTCTTCTCACTCCTCAAATCCAATGCATCATTAAATCTTATTGGCTCTACCATCAAAACACATCCAAAATCTGATACTTCTCACCACCCCCCCAACTGCCACTAGCCTGGTGCAAGCCACCACCTCTTGCCGAAATTACTACAATAGCCTTTTTCCTAACTGGGCTCCTCAACTCTCCCTTTGCCCTCTTTCAGTCTCTTCTCAACATTGTAGTCAGAGGGATACTATTAAACCATCATGTCACTCCTCCGCTCCAGTTTGAGTTCCTATCCCAGACAAAAGTCAAAATTCTTCCTAAAGTCTGCAAAGCTGTACTTGATCTGTCCCCACCTGATCATGTGGACCTCATCTACTACTCTCTAGCCACTACAGCCTTCCTGACTTGTCCTCAAACACTAGACATACTCCCACCTCAAGGCCTTTGAACTTGCTCCCTCTGCCACAACCACTCTTCCTGCAGATACCCACATGGCCAGCTCCCTTAAACTTCCTTCTGGCCCTTACTCTTGTCATTCTCTTAATAAAACCAAGTATGACCATCATACCCAAAATTTCAACCCCTCACCCTGACCTCTTCATCTCATCTACATCCACAGTCCTCTTTTCTGCTTTATTTTTCTTCTTAGAACCTACCACTACTTCTAACACAGCATACATGATAGTTATTTACTCTGCTTATTGTCCACTCGCCATTGACTAATCTCCATGTGGGCATAAATACAGCCTACACACTGCTGTCTCCTCAGCACCTAGAACAGTATCTAACACATAACAGACACTTGACAAATATTTGAATGAGCAAGTAAATGAACGAATAGGCTTAGAATGAGCAAGAAAATAGGAACAGAGAAGACGAAACAGGTAAGAAGAGTTAATTGCAGGTGAAGATCTGGGGCTCAGCTTCACCTGTGATGTTTCTGGCTCCATCAACATTTGTGAACCTGGTTAGCAATCACTACTTAAGAGTGAACTAATGTCCAATCTCGAACTAACATTCACTATAAGCACTGAGTGTTTCTTCCAAATTCATTATGAATTCTAATTCACTCAAGAAGAAACCTGGAAGAGGGGCGCCTGGCTGGCTCAGTCTGAGGAGCACATGACTCTTGGTCTCAGGGTGGTGCATATGAGCCCTACGTTGGGTGTGGAGATTACATATGTAGTACAAAAATGAGAAATTTAGGGGAAATGAAACCACAAATGACAAACATTTTACCTACCATTATGAATTGTGCTTTAACACGCTACCCGCCCACAACTGAAACTTACAATGAGGCATACGCCTAAGGACCTAAGGCCAGAATTTTGAAGTAATGCTACATAAACAAGAGAAATCAAGGAATCTATCTAAACCAGATTCTGCCACCAATCAACTGTATGACCAAAATCTCTGTGAACTTGTTTCCCACCCTGTTAACATAAGGATCACTACATCCAAGTCACTCTCAACTACTCCTCCAAGGATGAAGTAATGGGAAAGTACTTTTAACGTACTGTTTTAAAAGCATAAAAGGCCATACCCCATACAAATACAAGACACTAAATTCTAAGATGTTAACTTACTGTCCATTAGAAAGATTTATTAAAAACAATGCCTTTTTGGGAAACTTCACATTTCAAAACTTTTTATAGACTTATAAATCAGGATGTAGGGGTGCCTGGGTGGCTCAGTCAGTTAAGCATCTGACTTTGGCTCAGGTCATGATCTCACAATTCATGGGGTCCAGCCCCATATCAGGCTCTGTGCTGACAGTTCAGAGCCTAGAGCCTGCTTTGGATTCCATGTCCCCCCCCCCCACCACGCATGCCCCTCCACTGCTGACACTCTGTCTCTCTCCTACTCTCTCAAAAATAAATCAGGATACAGTGATTTCTCCCCTAGGCTCGAAATTAAGAGAATACATATTTTACTAGTATATTTGCTTCACAAAAACAACAGAAATGAAGTTTTTCTCAGTTACAATATTATATTGCACAAGAATTTCCAAGCAATTAACCACAAGATTATTAATATATTACTCAACATGATATACACCAAAAATAGATATATGTTAATATGTATATGTATATAAATACCTCAAAGTCTCAGGGATTAGGGTGGGAGGAATGACTGCCAAGGAGCAAGAGAGAACTTTTTAGGGTGATGGAAATGCTGTCTTTATTGGGATCATGATCACATGGGCGAACACATTTGTTAAAACTCATCAAACTGCATTTTAAATGGGCACAATTTCTGCATGTAAATTACACCTTAATAAAGTTAGTTTAGGGGCGCCTGGGTGGCTCAGTCGGTTAAGCGTCCGACTTCAGCTCAGGTCATGGTCTCGCGGTTCCTGGGTTCGAGCCCCGCGTCCGGCTCTGCGCTGACAGCTAGCTCAGAGCCCGGAGCCAGTTTCAGATTCTTTGTTTCCCTCTCTCTCTGACCCTCCCCTGCTCACAATGTCTCTCTCTCTCTCTCTTTCTCTCTCGCAGAAACAAATAAAAACATTAAAAAATTTTTTTTAATAATAAAGTTAGTTTAGATCAATTAAAAGTCTATCCTATTTCCTCAAAATAAAATTTGAAAAAAAATTACTCAGTTGCACCATGGTCTCAAGAACTTGCATAAGGAGATCTATTGCAACAGGTTTGAAGACTTAACAGAGAATGTCAATGACCAAATAAGTCAACTCATGATCTTCCGGCCTCAAGGTCAACTCAAACTCAAATTAGAAAAAAAATAAAGGCAGCATAATCAGGGGGTAAAAATAACGTCAGCTTCTTTTTATGAAAATGAAAAATGCTATTTCTTATGAAGACACTGCGGAAAAAGCACAGGTTTGGAGTCCTTCAAAACCTAGGCTGGAATGGTTATAGGCTGTTAAGCGTGTGACCTGGAGAGCTCTCAGTCTGGAGGCTTGGTTTCCCTGTCTGTAAAATGGGGATAATGATGGCTTAAGAGTGTGGCCTAGCGCACAGTTAAGTGTTCCGTATATGATATGCAATTCAGGATACTAGTGAAGACTCCGTAATTTAGCGCTGGCATGCAGATTTAAGGCCCCTCGGTTTCCGTCTAGGGCGATCGTGATCACTTTCGCACATCTAACTGCCCTCAACCAGGCTTCATTTCCCTCCTACACACATACACCCTACATCTTTTCTGGTCCAGACCATCCCCTCTCCCGTGCAGCTCCCAGGGACCCCCAACCTCCCGGGCCCCCACCTCGTTAAGGAAACGGGTGACATCGTAGACTCTCCCGTGGATCACCAGCCATATCTCCTTCATGGAGTTGTGCTTCGCCACCTCCTCCAATCGATAATAGGTGACGGAGGTTTCGACCCCTTGCCCTTTCCCATCGTTGCCGCTTGCTTCCACAGTCGCCATTGGGCCTGAGCAGCTCTTCTCCACCACTAACCGGGTTTCCAAAGCTAACTTCCTCGAGGTGGACTCTGACCTCAGCACTCCCCGGCTTCCGTAACCAGGGCTCCTACGGCCGTCGGTGGGCTCCTGGCAACAGCCAATCACGCTTCCGGATAGTTCCTGGTTCGTTTTCTTCTCACCAATGAAACAACGGATTCTGTTTCAAGTTCCACCCACCCCTCGCCCGATCCTTGGAGCGTAGGCCTGGTTCGAGATCCGACTAGCCAATCAGAGCCGTCCATCCCTCCAATCTCACCAACCGCGTACCGAGATTTTGGAGAGACGCCTACACCGAGACGGATAGACAGGTGTTAAGAGAGGTTTCACCTTCACTCTGCTTTCCCTCCTGCAGAGTCTGGTAACTGGAGGCTGAATCTCCATTTTACTGCTTCCTTTTCTCTTCACTTCCCTTCCCTTCGCCGCGGACCTCTCTGGAGTCTCACGAATCTTGTCCCCCCCCACCACTTGTGCGGCCTTTGTTTCGGCGCGGGTTTACACCTTTGTTTGCAACCTTCAGGCTATGATCTGTTGCCCGTCTAAGACTCATTTTCCTAACCAATAAAATGAGCAAGATAACGTCTTCCTGTAGAGAAGTTTGGCCGATTAAATGAGGGACCGTTATCTGTACAGCGCTTGACACAGTAATTAAAACATAACTGATAGAGGTGCTAAAAATAGGTGGGAAGGGAGGGGGCGTAATTGGCCTAAGGCCATGGACAGGTAGGGTATGGCCACTACTAAGAATCTGATTTAATTATACATTAATTCTATCTTAAAATTGGGAAAGGGGATCTGGTTTTTATTCTTATTTTAATGTTTATTTTTGAGAGAAAGAACGAGCGGAAGAGGAGCAGAGAGAGAGAAGGGGATACAGAATCCAAAGCAGGCTCAGCACTGTCACTGCAAAGCCTGATACGGGGCTCGAACCAATGAACCGTGAGATCACCTCTGAGCTGAAGTCAGATGCTTAACTGAGCTACCCATGCGTCCCAGGGGATCTGATATTTAAGGAATTATTTGGTGATCAGAACATAGCTATGCTATTTTCGTTTCCAGGTGTTCTAAAATAGAATTCATCTCAACTTTTCCCAGCTAGAGGTCCCAGCATTTTGGAGTTCCAAGCTTGATTGATGTGCATTATCATAAACTACTCTTTTTAAACTGCCATCCCAACTGACAAACTGACTAATGTCATTTTCGTCATGTCACTCTCCCAGCCTCTCCCCAATCCATCCTCAACCTCTGTTACTGACATTTTCCACCATTCCTTTTATAAGGCTTGTGTACCAGCCACTGACTCCTAAACCTGCTGGGGAAAAAAAACAAAAACAAAAAACACATTTCTGTGATCATACCAGATCCACCCACTCTCTTCCTTCCAAAGCCTACTCACTTTCAATTCCTGAAATTTCTTTTTCACAAATTCTGCCATTCCAAGCTCCAGTGGTCCCATCTCTTTACAGTACCTAAACATATTACTTATTTCAGGAACGCCCTGTATCTGTAAATATTAACTTCCATATTTACCTTTCAAATGAGACTGACTTATGAGAGAAATTCCACATGACTCTTAGGCTATTGCACAAACTAGATTCTAATATATACATTCATTTCAGAGATATTTACCGAATATTTACTGTGTCACAAGTACTGTGGTAGGCTCTGTGACACAAAGCTAACGTAAGAAATAGGCCTTTTAGGGGCGCCTGGGTGGTTCAGTCGGTTAAGCGTCTGACTTCAGCTCAGGTCATGATCTCATGCTTCATGGGTTTGAGCCCCATGTCAGGCTCTGAGCACAGAGCCTGGACTGTGTCTCTCTCTCTCTCCCTCTCTCTCTCTCTCTCAAAAATAAATAAAGATTGAAAATTTTTTTAGAAAAGAAATAAGCCTTTTAAAAGAAACAAAAACATTTACATATACATAAATTTAAGTTCTAGAAATAGAGATCTGTTCCAAACACGATAGGACAGAGCTTTGAACACATATTTGTTAAATGAATGACTCACACTTAACCCCGGCGTGCATGAGTCACCTGAGGAGGCTGTGTTAAAAATGCAGATTCCCCAGGACGTTAAGCTTCCGACTGTGGCTCTGGTCATGATCTCAGGGTTCATGAGTTGGAGCCCCGCAAAGGGCTCTTTGCTGACAGCTCAGAGCCTGGAGCCTGCTTCGGATTCTGTGTCTCCCTCTCTCTGCCCATCCTGGCTCTCTTTCTCTCTCTCTCAAAAATAAATAAACATTAAAAATAAGAAAAAAGAAAAATGCAGATTCCTTCCTGTCCAAACAAGGAGACCCTTCCTCACCTTGAATCTTGTCTTGCCTTATTACTTACTCGGACCAATAGACTGGGGCACGGGTAGTGCTATGGAAGTTATGAAGTTCAGACCTCAAGAGGCCTTTAAGTTTCCATCTTCACCATGTGAGAACACTACTCTGAGATCAAGATGCTGTGAGGAAGCCTGGGATTAAAGACCAGCCATTTAAACTCCCAGCTGAGCCCACCCCTTCATCAATTTGTCAGCTGAGTGCAAACACCGTGAGTGAGCCCAGGCTTGCTCAGCAGAACTGCCCAGTAAACCCAAAGAATCGTGAGAAATAATAAAACATTGATTTAACAGAGTAAAAAAAAAAAAGTAAATTCCCAGTCCCACCTCCAGGGGTCCAGTGGGTCTGGATATAAAACCAGAAATGAACATTTTGACTTTTTTTGAAATTTTATTTAAGTAATCTCTACACCCAACATGGGGCTCAAACTCATGACCTCGAGATCAAGAGTCCTGTGCTCCCCGACTGAGCCAGCCAGGCACCCTGAAGTGAACATTTTTAGCACGTATTTGTGGTGATTCTGATGCAAGTGACCTGTGGATAACTTTGGGAAACACTGAACTTTTTCTGAAGTATATGTCTTTATCTCTCATACAATAAATTAGTAAAATTATGCAGCATTTCTTTTTTTATCTCCACCTTTAGGAAAGGAGTCCAATAGTGTTTTTCAAGACCCTAAGATGGTAGTATTAAAAAAAACCTCTCGGGGCGCCTGGGTGGCTTAGTCAGTTAAGCGTCTGACTTTCGCTTAGGTCATGATCTCGCGGTTCATGGGTTCGAGCCCTGCGTCGGGCTCTGTGCTGACTGCCAGCTCAGAGCCTGGAGCCTGTTTCAGTCTGTGACTCCCTCTCTCTCTGACCCTCCCCTGCTCACACTGTCTCTCTCTCTCTCCTAGAAATAAATAAAAATATTTAAAAAAATAATAATAATAATAATAAAATTCTAAAAAAAAAAAAAAAAAAACCTCTCAACAAGGGGAAAGGTTGAAGAAATATATTTGGAGAACCATAGAAGCAAAAGCAGGTTTTCTGGAACTGGGAAGAGAAAAGTGGTTTGGGATTCCTCCAGTAATAGGAAATCCACAAGTTTCCTTAAAGAAATGGAGGAGGGAAAGTGGGGGGAGGTCAGGGCAAAGGATGTCAGAGGGAAGGGCTACAGAAGCCATGCAGGGAGATCAGACCTTCTATGGCAGGGCTCCCAGCGAGCAGACATACTTGAGACCCAGTGAAGAGGCTCTCAGCTCTACGACAGATCTTCTGGAAAGTGAGCAACGTGGCCTGAAGACTAGAGGACCCTTCCTGAATGCCGTGCACTATGTAAAACCACCGGCGAGAAGGAGAGGAACTGCTTCCATAAATGACTGAGAATTTCTCATCATCATGGCAAGAAGATCACGAAGTGTTTTTTATATTATTTTTTAAGTTTATTTCTCTCTCTGAGAGAGAGAGGGAGGGAGAGGGAGACAGAGAGAGTGCAAGCATGCATGTGGGCAAGCAGGGGAGGGGCAGAGAGAGAGGGAGAGAATCCCAAGCAGGCTCATGTTGTCAGCGCAGAGTCAGTGGGGGGTGGGGCTCAATCTCAGGAACCACAGGATCATGACCTGAGCTAAAATCGAGTCGGATGCTTCATCAACGGAGCCACCCAGGCACCCGAGACACTGACATTTTTTGCAAGTATGACCTCAGATTGAATTGGATTCAGAAAAACATTGTGGCCTAAATATATTAATTATAAGTTCATATTCAAAATCACCATGTGGTAGCCAGAAAGTCCAGCTTGGCATCCCTGTCCCTGCCACTCACAAACTTAGTACTTTTAGGCCGCTTTCTTGATCTCTTTTTTTTCCAAGTGAATACCCAATTGTTCCAACACCATTGGATGAAAACATAATTCCCCAATGAATTATTTTCCTATCTTTCTTGAAAATAGATTGCCCATATAAGTGTGGATCTTTTTCTGAACTTTCTAGTATGTTCCAGTGATTTTTCTGTCCTACTGCCAATTCTACACTGTCTTGATTACTATAGTTTTGCAGTAAGACTTGTAAGTCCTTCAGTTTTGCTCTTATTTTCCAAAATTGTTTCTACTATCTTAGATCTTTTGTATTTCCACATAAATTTTAAACTCAGTTTGTTGAACCAAGTAAAAAGACAACGTCACTAGTGATAAATCATGCTGATAGCATGGTCTGTGATGAGGAGAGCACTTTATCACTATGACATTCTTCCCCAAAACCATAACCCCAGTGTAAGCATGAGAAAAACATTAGGCAAGCCCACATTGAGAGGCATTCTACAAAATACCTGACCGGTATTCCTCCAAACTGTCAAACTTATTAAAAACAAAACAAAACAAGGAAACACTTAGAAATTGTCACACACCTAAGTAGACTAAGGATATACGATAACTAAATGCAATGTAATATCCTGGATTGGATCCTAGAACAAAAAAAGAACATTAGGGGGAAAAAAAAACAGTGAAATCCAGGTAAAGTAAATAATGTACCAGTGTTGATTTCTTAGTTTTGACAGATATACTATAGTAAATGTTAGATGTTAATACTATGGGAAGCAAGTATATTACGGGTATACAAGTACTCTCTGTACTATTTTTGCAATGTTTTTATAAATCTAAATTTATTTTTAAATCAGCATGTTAATTTCTATAAATGAGCTTATAGATGAACATATATAGAGAATAAACATATTAACAACTTTGA